GAGCACAGGACTTGAGATGCAGTCTGACAAGCACCAGATAGAGGGGAAGGTGCTGGCTATGCTCTCTCGCTGATTCAGTGGAGGATGCGGTTTGCCTTTTTTGCTGCAAGTTTGGCCACTATCAAGATGAAAAACACTGTGGGTTGGACTAAATGCTTTCACTTTTACAGAAATGGTTTCAAATGTTTGGCCTCTCTGCGATTTCACATTTTCAGGTTTGGATTTTGATATTCTGTAGCTAGGACCCTACTAGACAAAAGTTTCCTTCATCTGCTGAAGGTCAGGTGTATGACAGCACCAGTTTCTTCCTTAATTAAATAAGAGAAGGTTTATGGTCAAGCATTTTTTTTAAAGAGAACCTATGTTACCGGATATATTAGCACTCTGCCCGTCCAAATAACCAGAACAAAAAAAAAAAAAAAAAAGCAACAAGAGCTGATCAGCAGGTTAACTCTGTCAACTATTACAGTGTAATAGGCATGCGCTGTATGGTTATATTTCAAATGCAGAAAGGGGCTGTGTTCTGACATCTAATGCTTCCAGATTAAAAACAAAGAACAACTGATCTATATGGGAGATTTAACAAGCAAGTAGTTTAAAGGAAAGGTAAGTGCTTAAAATTATCAAAATGATACCATAACTAAAATGTTTATAACTGATACAGTTAATGTAGTCACGAAGGAAAGGCGGTAAAATTTGTTAGCTGAAACAACAAAAGAAGCAGTAAAGATCATCATACATTTAAGAGTTGATAATAACAAAATGATATGCAACTCTTAGGCTCACAATGTAGTAGATACTCACTGTTCCCAAGTTCTCTATTTTTACTTAAAGACGAGTTCCTTACTGAGGACTCTTAAAGGTAAGTCATTTTCCACTCCTTTTAAGCAACGCAAAGACATATGTAGTATTCTTCCATTCTGTGGTCTCTGTACACTTCTCAGGTTGTAATACTCTCCAGCAGTCAAAATCTGGGGCTACACATAGATTCACCAGACCTGCCTGGACCCAGAGGTCCTCTATAGTAAGTAACTTGGATTGGGATTGAGCTCTCACACAGACTGCCATCTGTGAGACAGATAGTCCTATCACCTTGTCTGGACTTAAAGCAGCACCCAAAGTCTTAGTAACTGACCTGTGTGTACAAGCAGAAGAATGTTTAGAAAGTAACAATTTTCCATTTATAATTATGTTGACAACAAAGTGATAACAAAAGAAGGATAAATAAGAACTCTAAATCAGAGGTTGTCAACTATAAAATCTGGGTTTGCAACATTAAACTAGTAATAATTCATTTTTATTTTATTTATTACAATAACCTGCTATGAAATCTGTCAAAAATCTACAATGCGTAATGTTAACAAGTTTGGAAAAACTTGGATTTTTTAGAATTGTTTGATTGCTGCGTAAAAAATTATGTGTAAACTTAATTATATTTGGAATGCCTTATTTGACTATGTGTGTGCCTTTTTCTGTTGAGTATTTGCAAGCAAATTATTTATATGTTAGCATATATGGAGTGGTGCTAGCTCAATTATTTCAGACATTCTTACCTCTAGTTAAAAACAATGCTTTTCGGAAAAATCAGGGGAAGAATCTCAGGAAGAATCTGGTTAGAATAGACTAAAACCACTTTTGTTGTAATTATCTTACATTTTGTTTGTTCATTTCAGATGGAAAGGTGGAGTTTTGTTTAGAAAGTCTCCAGCTCATATGTGTCATGATTTATTTTTGTCATGTTCAAGTTGAAAAAATGTTTCCAGACCAACCTCTTTGAAGAATTTTTCATTTTCAAAAACGGAGAATTAAACCCAGATTTTTCCATCTTGAAAATGCAGGTGCAATGCTACTAATAAGGGGTGCTCAGGACTAGTTGTTGATATCCTAGGTGGTCTTGTGGTTCATCCACTCTATTTGCATGCTTCAGTGTTGTCCTCTGTGCAGCTCAGGACGTATCATGTTTCATGCTTATGTTTCAGAATTAAATCAAGTTTTCTGTCTGTGGTTTCCTGTTCATTGCACAAACCATAGCAACAATTTATGTTACATTATTCTGTTGAGGGACACTGAGTGCTGTATACTTTTTGAGACAGTCAGTCCAGTAGTGTGGCGTTATACGATCACTAGAAATTCAGCAGCGGAATCTGAGGAGCAGAGTTAGATTCAAGTAGTCCAAAATTTTCCCACTGTTCTCAGGGAGCAAAGCTAGATTTATTTTTAGATTTGCACTGCCAGGTTTGGGTTTTCAGATATCATAATGTAGAGGTGATGCTATGACATACGGTAATATATTCTTAGTGTTCTTCATCTGGATAGTGTTTATTTTGTATTTTGGTTTCATTGTTCATAATCACAGGCAAAAATACTATTTTTAAAAGGGGCTCTGTCAGTGACAACACACTTAACATTTTCAACCACTTCACAGTATTTTATTTCTCTGAAAAATAAATCTGTTCATCCTGCTTTCAAAAAAATGATGATATCTAGGATCAAGCGCGTGATAGGAGTTCATTACCATAAGAAGAATACCATTATATTACACAGGCAGTATATTACAATGACAGCACGTTATATTCTTAGTGTGGACCTAAATGTACTAGCAGTACGTCAATAGGCAATTCATCCTTCCTCTTCAAACTGATGAAGACATGATGGTAAATATACAGTTTTGCTGGTGGTACATCTGTACTAACCTCTTCTGCTAGGGCTCACACCTCCTCTCCTCCCTGGCTGACAGAACTGCACCAAGAGAAAATTGTGATCCTGACTTTGTAAGGGATTTTCTTTTAAGAATAATTTGTTAAAAGTTTAAGGTGTCAGCCTATATTCTCACTGATGAATGATCACACTACTTTTACACAAATGTTGGTTATTTTACATGCAAACCTGAGACTGTTCTTCGGGCTATTTGTACAGTTATGAGAGCTCTTTTTTTCTTGATTCAAAAGTGTATCTCTTTGCTGTGTAAAGAAAAAAGGTTAGTCACACCCATAATTATTACCCAAAATCTAATTTATTGATAATACACAAAAATCCCCCCGTGGAAACAGATGGACTTTTCCTCCCTTTAACAGCAGAGATTGTATTCCTCAACATTTGTTGAGGAGATTCTCTGGGACTCATTTTTCAGGTTCTTTCTGCTCCATATTAAAGCATCTCTCTCTGGTCCTCTTGCCTGCTCTTTTATTGATTACTTCCTTACAACTTAGGATGATATTGTAATGCTTCTAAGTAGTTGTATTTAAATTCCTCTGTTCTCAACCTCTCTCAGATTATTAGTGCTTTTTGGTTTTCAGCTAGTTTTTCTATGTGAATTTATCCCTTTGTTAGAACTGAAAAAATGGCTGGGCTTTTTTTTTATTTGTTATGCCTAGTGTAACACAACTTTCTAGGCAGCAACTGCAAATGCATGTTTCTCCTTTCTTACTGACATTTTTAGTACATTTGGTTTTAACAAGGGCTCAGCTTTTCACGGGTAAATCAATGGGTCCTTTTGCTTTTTGCAGTGGTCACCAAGTAGTTTAAAACAGTTGTATGACAAGGCAGGTTGTGTAACGTATTCGTGTTACTGTGTGTAAACTAAAATCAGCATGTGTATATATAATATGCTTCCTGTCTCTGTAATACTCCTTGAAAAAATTAGATTAAATTTGAGACTCTCCAGCAGGCTTGCTGTTGTCATGTTGCACATTACTGAGAGATGCCTTCTGAGAGATGCAGTTTCATCAAGTTCACAGTAACTAATGTTACTTCTTCATGTACAGTGGAGCTATCATGGCATGGTAACTAAGAAATAAATTTATCTTGGTATATTAACATTCATCTTTTCCTTGGATACAATGCAAAACAAACTGCATAGGATACTTATATACAGACTCTTAAAGACTAATCTAATTCTCAGATATAAATAACCTGACATTTAAAATGAAGGCAGAAACTCCAAGCTTGTCCTTACCTATAGTATTGAGCCTCCATAGGTTTGAATAGAAATATTCAGTGTGCTTGCATAAGTCTGAATTTTTGTTATGCTTATTACCTGCTGTTTACTTAAAGTAGTAAGTACAAATTACCTGCTGACCAAAAATAATTCAGTTATACCTGTGTGTGTATCCTTTCATATGTTGAGGGGAAAGTTGTGTTCAGTAATCCTTCTCATCTTGCCTCACCCAGCATGAGAGGAAGAAAAATACCACATGAATGTTTTATAGTCCAGTCCAACCCACTCTGAACTCGGATCTAAGCCTTGATCAGTGGATTGTTGTGGTTTAAAGACCTGCTGCCAGTAATGAAGAACAGACGAATGTAGGCAGAGTTTAAAGCAGCCGTGTTTTGTTTCTCACCCCATCAGACAGCAGCATGTGCTGTGCTGATTGACCGTGGCCTCTAGCAGGGGTCCAAGGACTTAGCCTCATATCTTTAGATCTGTAGCAGACAAATCAATTGTTCAGCAGCCAGTTTCCTTAGCGGTAAAATAAATCTATGTGGTATATAAAGAATAAAATACTTAGCAATATTATGGCTAGTATTATAATTATCCCAAATAGTGGCAGTTAGATGCCTGTTTCATGCAGCTTCAAGTCAGGTAGGGAAGATGTCTAGCTCTAAATTCTATCCTGTAGTAAATTACACTTGCAGTTCTTTATGAGAGCAAAAAGGAAAGATAGTTTTCAAATTTATTTGGTATCTGTTAGGAGACACATCATCAGTGCTACCAGCAGTATCTTGATAAATTGCCCGCTCACGTAGGTCAACAAAATGCTGTGGGATCTGCAGCTGTAAGAACACGTACCAGTTCTATGTCCCTTGTTTTTTTCAAAGTATACCTTAAAGATATGGTGAGTTACTCTTACATATACATGCTGGGTTGATAAAACAAATAAGTAGTTATTCTCAGAAGATTTGATTCAACCCGTTCTTAAATATCAGAACATACATCTCTCCTATATCCTGAATTTTGGGAGCTGGCGCTTTACCTAGCACTTTTTGCATTCACTTTCCAGATCATGTGAATGGTCACTGTACAAGTCCAACATCCCAGAGCTGCGGTTCAGGAAAACGACTTTCCAGTGCAGACGTCTCAAAAGCAAACCGCCGAGGGCCTGGAAGGCCCCCCTTCAGAAAAGCACAGTCTGCAGCCTGCATGGAGATTTCTCTCCCAGTCACCACAGAAGGTGGGTGGCAATTAATATTTTGCTAGGTATTCATTAATTTCTCACTGGGTGTGAAAGCAAATAAGTTTAGCATGATCCTTGTCCTAGTCATTGCCCTGAACTGCTGTCTTCATCTGACTGTGTAGAATTAGAACAACCCCTGTGTGTTAGTGTTGTTACTAACAAGCCTGCTCCTGAGCTCTGTGCTGCCTAGGGATGCGGTATGCTGAACCTCACTGAACTCTTACAGCCGTCCCCTTGCCTGTATGGATTGGGTGCTTTGTTCCGGAAAAGCGATTGTTCATAGCAGCTTCTGTACAGTTATTGTGACAGCTAGTAGTACTAACGTTTTAAACTCTCGTTGTCTCTACTTATCGAGGCTGAAAATGAGTAAGATATTTTTAGAATGTGAGTTCAGGCTTTGCACATATTTATTGGTACTGAAGACTTTATAAAGTTCCACAATCCCTGGCCACCGTTTACGGTAAAATTATAGCCCATAATCTAATAAGCATTTTGTATTTATAATAAATTTCTTGCTTTAATGCTTGAAAGCAGTCTTCAAATATTGACTCTGCACTCAGGTAGATCTAGATTAAACTGAGATACAAAGTGGACCACTCATGGCAATGCATTGTGCTTAAAACTTAGAATAAGCCCATTCTAATTTCAGCAGTGCCAGCTATTTCACTGCAGATCGCAGTGAAGCATTCAGCTGACGTGTTTTTCTTCAATCTTGATAGTGTTCCCACTCTGCTGTTGGTGTCCTTGACTCTTGTCTCCCAGGCTTCCAGCTCCCCCACATTCCTGCAATAGAGCAATGCATTGTTTGTGCAGAAAAGCTTCAGTCTATCAAAAACTGAAAAAGCATAGCAATAAAATAAATAGTGTAGGACTGTAGTGTTGGTTGTATTCAATTTTAGTAATAGGTAAAAATTTAATAATATTTAAACAACAGAAATGATAGGGTTTAATATTTTAATAATAAAATAATTAATTTTAACAATTAACTCTTTTAAAAATCCAGGTTTTAATTTTAATCAAGTTGCAGAATAATTTCCTAAGTGCCTTAAGAGATAATAACCTCCTGTGGCTATTGTCTGGGCTGTAGCATGGCCTGAACCCCCCATGATGCTGTAAGTGATAGGCAATCAACAACACCATGACCCCTAGCCCTCTGTCTTGGGGGACCATTTGTATCCTAACCTGCCCACCTGCAAAGGTGTCTGCACCACAGAAGTTCTTTACAGCTGGAACCAGTACTCCCTAATTTTGCTGATTGTTAATGGAGACTGAGTGTTATAATTCCCCTTGCTCTGTCTAATTTAGTATTTTTAAATGCAAATTAATGCAAATACCTTTGTAACTAGTGGCAAATTGCTAGAATCTTGATTTTTTTTTTTTTCTTTTCTTTATGATAATGTAAAATAGATTCTTGTTCGGCCTTTCTTCTGACTGCTGTGGGGATGACACAATGGAAAAATAATGTGTGAGACCCTATAGGAAAACATCCTAATTTGGCACAGAGGGTTCCAAGATTATGTTCTTGACTGGAATGGAGCTGATACCCCAAAGACTGTTGCAGTGTCCTCTAGCAGCTCCTTCCATTTGATTTAAGAGCAGTATTTACCTACATTCATCCATGTGACACAGAGCAAAGCATGGTCAGAGGCTCTCTGCAAAACATCTGCGCTCACTGAAGGTCTTACCATCTTCCGGCTATGTCATTAGGTCTCTAGTAGAAGTCACCTCCCATCGCCAGAGGCTATCACACCAGAACAGATACTGGTGGAAGAGGGATCCTTTGAGTTGTCCCTTTCTGCTTAAGTACAGAAACATTTAGCTTAAACAGCTTTCTATATTGGGTTACATTATCCAACTCCCTTTGCACTAAAGCAAATGAGAAGTGCCCACGCGATCTATTTTTCTGACTTTACTAGACAAGGGTTAACCTTCTGTAGACGAACAAGGTCAAAAACTTGGGAGTAGTGACATTTCAACTGACACTGCTGTTTCTTCAGTGACCATCCGACCATCTCTCCTTTAGGAGAATGTTACAGTATCATGGACTCTTCAAAGATTACATCATAGGCTGAACAGCAAAAATGTTAAATCACATTGTAGGCTTCCTAGAACATATGACAAAGTGTAATCTTCAGCAGTCAGTTATAAGAAGTAATCCTGTTTAAATAACAAACCTACCATAAATTTCAGTTTTAACTTGCATTAATTAATGGCTCCTTTGTGAACATTGTACTAAAGAAGCTTTACAGAGCTCTGAGGTGTTTATAAATTCCTGTGCATAAAGGCAGTTTTCATTTGCATAATCGCCATTTTTTCCTCCACGTTAGTTATTGATGATGATCATAACATAACCCTTTCATCTACTTCTATGCGCCGCACAAATATGGTAAGTACCATTGTCATATAATAGCTCATGGTGGAAAATATATCACCGCACAGTAGTTTCTATTGCTGTGTGGTTTTCTTCATCCTATGTAGGATGGAGAATTCTTCTGGAATTCCTGTACGCAGATACTGCTGCAATATCAGCACTACACGTACATAACCGGGCCACGGCACTACCTAATTCTTTTATGCTTCTTGTTTTCTTTTTCCCTCCCATCCTCCCAGAGTAAGTAGGGTCACTTGCAGGCAGAACCCACAAACCCCTAAGGTCCCACTGACCCTTGTGTACAAAACATTTAGTAATACAGTGATACTTTTGATGGCATGATGATGCTTTCTGCATATCCATATCATGAAAGATTCAGTTTCTATTGTTCCTAACTAATTATAATACCTATCAAATTTAATATTAAAGTGTATCTCTTTCTAGAGATAGTCATCGAACTTCCTTTCAGGGACATGGAGTAAATTAAAGTAAATGACACAAAAAAATCCCTATTTGAAAGTATCAGTGGTGTCACTTAAACGGTATTACAACTCTCAGTAAGGTCAGTGAAATGGCTGCTGCAAGAAGGAGCCAGACAGTCTTTAGAGTAATTTATATTAACATGTAATATGATGGAGCACAGTTTGGGTTTGTCCTTGAGTGTGTAGGTTTGTGTACCAGTCACCTTTCAGCAGGTGTATAGACTAAAATATTTTTCTGATTATTTATATACTCTCATTAAAACAAAGCCATCTGTCCAACTTGTCTAAGCTTTCTTTTAGATGCCTGTGCTATTAGTCTTTTGAATTCTAGCTCTACTAACTGATCTGTCTGGAATGACTGACATTCCGCCGTTCTTCATGCATCTTGAATTTCTAGACATACGGTTTTGGCAAGTGGTTTGATTTATTTCTGAAGTTTTTTATACTAAATATACAGTGGAAGGTGGTGTGATCCTTGAAAGATTCTTAGGCTGGGGGTAAGGAGGAAGGTGAGGGAGAAGGAAGATGAGAAGTTAAAAGATTTGAGAAAGAATATACTGAGAATAAACATTCTCTCTACAATGTGGGACTGGGTTTGATCAAAACCTGCTAGTTGGGCTGTTCCAAAATAAAATGAAAAAATCCTCTCTGTACTAAGAATTTATTGGCTACTTAGTAGTATATTCTGCAATAAACAATTAGATGTATTCACAAGAAATTTTTTTTTTATATATTCTCATGTGGTGAATCAAGATACATATTTCATGTCCTTGATAGAGAGGTAGTATTTCAGGGTAGTATTTCAGGTTAGTATTTGGCAGGATTTTATTATTCTACCTGAGTAGAATTTTGATTACAGATTGCTATCTCAGTAGTCTTAAGCACTCTTTATACATTAAAAAAAAAGCCTTTGTGTGTGGGTAGATGGTTCTTACCTTTTCTTAAGCCTGTCTCTGAGGCACTGATAACACTTGGAGATTTTTAACAATGCTTCCAGTTCCTGCTCTTTACAACCTCTTCTAATTGATTTGATTAAAAAGATAATACATTTTGGTGACTAATCATAAGATACCTATTAGAATAAGAAATCCAATGTGAGAGGGGAAGACTAATTTAAAAAATCTACTTATTTAAATCTGATCTTTTGGTACAATAGGAATTGTATTTCCAACGCTTTCATCAAGTGTATTTTCAAGCAACTTTCACACAATAAATTCTTCTGACTTCATTCCTGTTAGCTGATTGTCAAGATTTTGCTGATTCTTACCTCTTTACACGTGCAGAAGGATTGCTGATATAGAAAAGCATTTTTGAAGAACGTCTTTGCAATGATGAATCATAGGAAGAAAATGGAGGGAGGAGGGGGTGTCTTGTTTTCTGCTGGTCAAAATATTGCAAACTGTTCAGTTTCATAAAGTGCTGATATTTCTTCCGCACTCATAGAAGAATAATTCAAAAGCCAAGTAAAGGCAGAGGAGTGGTGTCTATGCTTGCATGGTTACTGTTACTGCTTAAACCTGTGTCCTTCCCAGTACCCTCATCTAACATGGAAAAACTTGAAAAGCTCTAAAGCTTTTTAAACTCAAGTAGATTTTATTCAAAGCTAAAGATTACTGCAATTTCAGTTTCAAAGCCTGGTATTTTTTTTTCCAAAAAACCCACTGGAATCTACATCAAATAGCTTGTTATAGTTATATTTTCATCAATAATTAGCCAGACATTTAATACAGCACTTCTCGAATACCATTTATACTATTTAAAATGTTACATATTGTCCTGTATTATCTTTCGGCTTCATAAATGCAGTGTTCTCACAGCTATACTAATAAATTCTGTAGTTGTTTAATATTCTCTATCTAACTTCAGCAAGAAATTAGAATTTTACAAGTTCTTAATAGCATATTATTGATTCTAAACAATCTTGTTTTCACATACTTTTGAGTAAGCTGTTTCTTCCTTGCAATAATATAAGAATTTTTGCATTATAAACAAAACCACAAACGTAGGGAATTCTGTTGTTGAACTTCCAAATTCTAAACTTCTTCTAGTACATTTTGACCAGAAGTTTTTTAGATTTTTAGGAGTTAGTGATTCCATTTCTTTGATAAGGCTTTCTTGCACAGGATATAAACTACATTTTTTTT